CTACTGCCTAGAGTGTTTTGAAGATGAGCTGAGATAATGTATGTACAGACCTTATACATATGATAGATTCATGCCTGGATCATGGCAGGTAGACCATGAATGTTAAATATTAAAGGTTACTTCTTAGCTGTTTTAGATTGTATATTTGATATAAGATATGCATTAAGTTTAATCCTAATTAGAAGTAATAACTGAAGGTTATTTTTGAATTTTTAAAATCATGGTATCACTTCAGCTACTCCTTTCTTGCTTTTTTTGCTTGCAGGCACATTTCATGTCCTAAATATGGTACAGGGGGTAAAACCTGCATTGTCACATTTGATGACCCTCACTGCCACCCACCTCCATTCCCTCCAGCTCATCCATTTTTACTTAAAGTGAATCAATTATGGGAAGCAATGAATATTTCTATGAGAGTATTCCTTAGTTGAAAACACTTACAATTTTGTTCTTATGAACATTGTTAGCTTTTTGTTGTCTGTAAAATTTATTCTAATGGACTGAGGTTTAGGGAAAATATCAGAACATGGCCACTGTACTTCTCATGTGCCAGTAACATATAATTAGAACACTGAAGAAAGAAATGGATTTTTATATTATTACATTCTGATACAAAGAAATTTCCATATTGAGAATATTTAACAATTCTAAAATTGCCACAGAATTATGGTTTTAGTGAGGGAAAATGCCAGGAATATATGGCATTAAGTAATCTAAGTACTTTTATAGGATATTAAACTATATGCACTATTATTATCATTTAGACAACTTTCAATTATCTAACTTATCTTAAATAATTTTTCATGAATGTCTTCAACTGAAACAGCATTTTCAATCTGTAGGTGGAAAATTACAGTAAAGTTGAGGGCTTTTTTAAGATTATGAGTATGATAAAGTAACTCTGATTAAAGGTATTTTTCTCAAAATATCAAACTAATCTAAGTTTACATAAACAGGTCATAAATTTACTGGCAAATATCTATACAGCAGTAGTAGATAGTGAATTCTTACTTTGTTTATATTCTGTACATAAATACAGTTCAAGGTGTTTATTTAAAAAAACCCAGATAGTACTAGTATAGTTCAACATTAATTACGAAATTAACTGAATATGATGGTTGAGCAGTATGGTCCAAAATAAATTATGAGTTAAGAGTATTGTTAGTTCACTCTTTATAGTCTAAGAATATCAGTACATTAGAAAAGCAAGCTTCCCAATTGAAATTCTTGCTATTAGAAGTATATAAAATACTACATTCTAATCTAAATTCTTCTCAGGTTTTGCCCCCCAAAGTTTTACTGAATTGATTCCATTTATACTAAGAGATTAGTAGTTTAGTTAGCCATTTGGTGTTTAAGCTCTCAAACTGAAAAACTGTTTTAAGGATGGTGAGTGCACATAGCAAGAATAAAAGCACTCATGATGACTTTGGAAGCCAACTGCATTAGGTGTCACTTTCCTGTGATAGTTACCGGTAAATTACAGTAACTTCATGTAGAATAGACAAGAAAATAAGCCTGTTGTTAAAATAAGTGATTAAAGTATATGCCCAATAAAATATACTAACCTTTACTGCAATATGATCAGTTAAAAAATTATTTTGTGTTTCTTATGATCAGAGGAAGTTTATAACAACTTAAAAAAATCTTTATTTCAGAGTAGGTCTTGAGAAATGTAAGCACATTGTATCTGCATACATAGAGATGAAAGTTAAGAAGGGTTTCAACAAAACATGGAAACAATTCCTTTCCAGGAGTCATTCTGTTTCCATCCCATCCTTCAAATGAGAAAACTTAGATGGCCTTGCCTCATCAGGGAATGTGCAGGTCCTTTCCAATACAGGGCATCCCAATCATTTCCATGGCAACAGCCCTTGACAACTTAAAAGACAACTAGATTCACAAACAGAAAAAGTTAAGACTCCTGAGTACTGTTAACTTTTTTTTTTAAGTGCAAAGCTGGCCAAACAATTTAGGATTCTCCAGAAGGAAAGGTTGAGCCTTTTATCAAACTTGGAATTGTTAACTTTACTGCAAATATTAAGTTGGATAGCCATTCTCAGAAAGTGACTGATATAAAAGGGCATAAGTCAGAAGTCCTTCCCTGGAATATACCTCCCATTTTTAAACAAATAAAAAGGATTAGGAGAGGAGGTTGAGGAAGGACCCTTCAATGAATCTGGAAACTTTAGTTTAAAAAGAGGGGGGAGGTGAGGAGGAGAGAAGAGAGAATTGGGAAGTCCTAAGCAGTTCCTTTCTCTAGCCTCAAACCCTTTAAGCCACAACCTTCCAAACGTGTTATTTGATTATCCTTTAGCATTTAAAATTTGTCCAAGAACGATGGCTTCTAATGTTACTACCTAAGGGAGTGTGAGGAAGAAAGGAGGGCTAACAGCGCAGGTGAGGGCACAGAGAGAGTTGTGGTGACTGAGGGTGACCCCACTGTTCCACTTCTCCTTAAGGATTTTCATCCGGAATAACCCGGCCACTGCGCTGAGTTCAGGAAGTCAGGGCTGTACATTTCTTTTGAAACCAGACAATAACCCAGTTCCCTCCGCCTCCCTCCCCTGCACCTTGATCCTCCTGACGCCGACTCTCGCCCACTTTAAATGCATCGAGCTCATTACCATCCCAAGAGTATCAAACAGATAAATACGGAACACATCTACGGACTACGGTAAAGAAAAAAATAAATCAGAACTACTGCTTTTTTGTTTCACTGCCCCCTCCTCCCAGCCCCCAGCCCTTTGTGTGTGATGATTCCCCTTCAAGCCACCCACAAATCCAGCATACGAGAAGAAATGGTAATTTTTGGTTTAAAAGTTCACTTACCACGGCAAACCTCAAAAAGCTTTGTCATGCTTTTTGTACTTAATTTTTCAAAACTGCTTGTGCAGGGCGCAGAACTGGGAAGGCAGGACTAAAGTATCTCTAATAATCGCAACAAAAAGGAAAGAACATTCACCAATCAGAATTACATTAAAATGCACAAACCCCAGAGCAAGACGCACGGTTCAGACCATACCAGGGAGGGGGTGGGGGTGGGAAAAGCCAAGCTAACAAAACAAAAGGTAAAGGAGAGAGTTGAGTGGTTGAAGGCGAAATTGATCCAAGCCGCCTTTTAACTGAGGACCGGCTTAAAATCACCACCACCGTCACCCCCCGCCCCCAGCACCCCCGCGATTACCCCAGTGACTGCACTTGCCTCCAGCCAGCTCAACTGCAGGAGAGGAATGCCCCATCTAAGTTCACTAGCCCTGCCACAGTCTTCCACTGCCTGATGGGTTCGTTCAGGAAAACACTTCCAGAGGCATCATCCACTCGAGGTCTGGGCTTGGCTGCTGGCTGCGGGGCTGCTGCAAGCAGCTGCTAGGATCGGTGCCGTCTCGTTCCTGCCTCATTCGCGCTGCACAATAGCCCCGGCTGGGTGCACCTCATTAAGCCAGCCCGAGAGCCCCAGGAGCAGGGCAAGCAGTGTGACAGCGCTGCCCCTTTGTAATGACTGTGTGATGGATGCAACCGAAGGGTGGGGTCTGGGTGGGTCAAAACTGTTAATGACAGTATGTATCATTCTGTCTGTCCTCCAGGAGAGGGAAGCCCCCTACCCTCCCCCTAGGTCTAGACATAGATGTCTCTCTCTCTCTCTCTCTCTCTCTCTCTCTCTCTCTGTCTCACACACACACACACACACACACACACACACACACTTCCTCGTTCCCCACCTCCCTATGACATTTTCTGCAATCAGCGTTCAAAAAAGTATGAAAAGTATCGGGTCATTTCTATCTGAACAGATTATCGACAGCGAATTTATCCAAACACTTTAGGAAAGAGAAGATCCTAAAATCTAAAATACAAGCGCAAGGGGGGCGAGGAGAGCAGGGTGGGCTGGGTGCTGGAGCGAGTAGGACGTTAACAGCCAATAGTTTGCACCTGTCCGTCAACTCGCACCACCCACTCAGCGCCGCTCGGGCCAGCGCGGGCGGCCGCTTCGCTGGTACCGCGTTCCTCCGAGGGTCGGGCACCATGTGGGGGGCGGGCAGCGGAGTGGGGAAGGGGGAATAAAACCAACCCGAGAGGCCCCGGCCCCGGAGGGGAATGCAGGAGGGGCGCCTGCACCCTGACCGCGCGCGGCCAGTAGGGGAGGAACCCTGATCCCAGACCAAAAGCCCGACCTGCCAGGGAGGGGCCGCCAGGGTGTTAGAGAGAGTTCCGGGGTCCGAGACGGCCGGGTTGGGGGAGAGGTTCTGCCCCGGGCCGCTGGGTACCCTTCGGGCCAGCGCCCGTGTCCCGCGTCATAGTTCGGGGCTGCTCCCTCTCCCGGGAGCGCCGCCCTTGCAGGTGCGCAGCGAAGCCACCAGGTGCGGGACTCGACCCCCGCCTCGTCCCCTCCGCTCCCCACACACCTGACACCCCCTTGCAGTCTCACTCCATTCTCCGTCCCGCCCATGCTGCCCCGAAGGCAGAAAGCACACAAAAACGTCTCTCCTTTCGCTCCCTTTATGGAGAGTCTTGAATCTTTGCTTCGCTTCTTCCAGGTTGCCCCATTGAAAACATCCGCGGATACCTTTTTTTCCCCTTTCAATTTTGTTAAGGGTCGGAAGAACCCAGTTCGTAGGCACTCATTTTTCAAGTTTAAGAAAGCCTTACAGGATCCTTTATTTCCCCGCGTGGACAAATAGACTGTTACTTTACACTCTACATTCCATTTCCAACTTACGGTGATGCTATCCCCTCTAAAGGTGGCCACAAAGCACCTGTTCCAAACATCCTGAGCGATTTCCCCAGAACCGCGTGGATATTTATTTATGTTTATTCAAGTTTATGGAGCACCACTTCTCTGACACTATGTAATCGACTTCTATATTTTCATCACTGATGCCTTACAGCAGCTAAGAGAAAACAAGAAGCAGAGGGAAAACAGGACATTTATGTCTAATGAAGCATCTCTCCCTTTTTATGTCAGCTATTTATTTATTAATCACTTAAAATTTGTGTATATAGGCTGTGCAGCCTGTTCTAGGCCGTGGGAGAGCACTAAAGAAGACTTTCAAGCCACTCCTCGAAGAGCTTCTGATCCGTGGGGGAGGTAAGAGAGCCGGAAGCTCTTAATTGCTTCTAATAAGAAACCACTTTGAGTAGAAGGGAACGAGATCTTGTCAGACTTTAAGCAGAGAAAAAAAAGAAGGGTGTGGTGTAGTCTTTCTGTGGTTCCTTCAGGTCTTAAAAACCTTCTAGGGCATGGAAGCCTTCTTTTTTTAACCAATTACTTTTCACAGCTTTTTACAATTCTATGATTTAGAAGTTGTACCAGACTTATATTCACATATGTCCTATAATTAAAGAAAGGGGGGAGACTGGGGAGGAGGGAAGACCAATGGAATGAGTGAGAAATCTAAATTAATTCACTAATTAATTAATTTATTGACTAACAGTAACACCGATTTAATAAAGCTTGCTTAGAAGAAATCCTCAGAGATAAACCTTAATGAGTAAGAATAAGAATTATATATAATTAACAAAATAATTGTTTCAGTGTAAATAGCTCTCTTAAGGGCACCGAAAACTTTTAAAAAACATTTCCTCTTACATTGTTTTACTAATAATTTGCATAATGTAAAAAGGGTTAGTTCATAAAATAGCTGTGAGTGGTGACAGAGCAAAGGGCTTTTGGAGTATGTTATTAATTGTAAGTATAATAACAAACAATAAAAGTTTATGGTATTATTATAGCTCTCCATTTCCTCCAAACCTAGATGGGCAAGATGCTAAATACTTTTTTTCTGAATGTATTCCCCTGGTTGAAAACTACTAGGACATTTTTTAAAGACTAGCTCATTAGCTGACTGGGTAAATTCCACCCCATGCCCCCATGAACTTTTGTACAGGTTTGAAGGCATTCTGGAAAATATACATTTTACTAAGTTTACTTTTCTCTGATCTCCCTTTCTGCTCCTCCAACCTAGAGCTACATATATTAAGAGAGGAAAAATGGAAGGAATGGGAATGCTAACTAATGGAATAAAGGTGTTTTTCTTGACACTTTGAAAAACAGACTAAAGAAATAAACAATAAATTTGGAAATTGGGTCTTTTAACAAATGAAAATTTTAGGATGTGATAAAAACAGTTCCTGTAAGTGTATGCATTAAATGTATTAACCTTGTGAAACATAAGGTTGCACCTGGGAGAAGTTAACACAGTTGGAGGTTATTAAGACACATCAACTCACTCAGCATTAATGAGGAGAACTTGAGCCTAGCCTGGAACACAGTTGTACTGAATTGGCAAGAATTGTATACCTAAATGTAAACTGAAATTTTTTTAGGAGGGGAGGATATATCAAGCTCAAGGAAAAACTGTATATATGTTTAAAAAAACCCCACAAAACCAGAAAACTGCCATCCTGCAAAAGTGTTTTTCCTATCAAAATTTCCTAGCTTATTCCATAATAACTTATATAATATGTTAGTACACTCTGAAAGAAGGATCTTTAGTACCCGAACAGGTAATATGTTCCATTTTCTATTTTTATTAATACAATTATAGGCCTGATTTATTTCAGCCCCTACTGTATGTGGCAGGGAAAAATAGAGGACAAAATGCTTTCTTTGACATACATCAGGGACTAGATTATAATCAATAAAAGCAAACTAAATTTGGAAAATATATAAGCTAGGTATTAAATAAGTAATTCACCATCTGTAAGTCCCCCACCAGTGGGTAATTGTTGACAGTCATGCTCAGGCTTCAATGACTAATGGAATATAATGGTTAATCCCAAGTGATCTTGGTTCTTTACTTTTAGGAACTTGTCAAGAAATTTTGTTTCAGGTAAGAACAAGATCATTGTGTAAGAATCCTATAAAGATTCTAAAGATTCTCCTGCACACTGTCTTTTAAGTGTAAGTTCAATACCTAGTCTTTGGGAAAGCATTGTTTTCGAGCTGTTATGATTTCTTTGCCCACGTTAAACAGCAGGGTTTCTGGAGTCATATAGAAATTGATTCCAATGCTTGCAAGCTGAATGACTTGGACAATTTTCTTAACCACTCTAGACCATGCTTCCCTCTTTAGTAAAAGTAAAAGAAGGACCAACTCCTACGGTTGTGATGATTTAATGATACAAAGTGTGAGAACGTGCTGCCTACTAAAATGTAAGCCCTATTGAGAAAGACATTGTAATTGGGTGCGCTCAACATGAATTCTCAACCTCCTCCCTTCTTATCTTACTCTAATTTAGAGACTAGAAAGTTCAATATTTGATTCCCCAATATTCCCTGCAGCTAGTAGTGTCTGTTGACACATTTTTGGCAAATTGAATGTAAAAATATATTTGCTGAGGGGTCTTCTGAAAAGACTTTGGCTTTTTTGAAGGAAGAGACACAATTGCCACCACCTTTTGCCCCCTTGCCCTACTCCCTTCTTCCTACTTGGATATTGTGTGATGTCTGGTGGTGGAACAAACGTCTTGCAGTTTTGAAGCAATAAGTTGAAGGCCAATGCTGAATGATGGTGGAGAAGAAACACAGGAAAAACCTGGGTTCCTGATGGCATATTCGAGCTGCTCAATTAGTCCTGGACTTCCTCCCTCTGGACTTCTTGCTTTATATGAAAAAGTAAACTGTTCTTTATTTCAACTATATTTAGCTGAAGATTCTAACTTGACGCTTCCTGATATGTCTGTTACTGTTGTTGTGTTTTCCTGTTTGTAGATGAAATCTGCCTTCCTTATTTACATGACCCTGGATGTCTGCCATTTTGAAGAATTCCAGGTAAAAGATTTCTCCTAGACTCCACCCATAACCAGGTCCCTGGTACTCGGGGGGCGGGTGAGGGGGGGGGCGGTGATCAGCTCAAATTAAAGAAGGAGTGGGTTTGTAAGGACCATTTATTTGAGAAAGTCCTGCAACTGATAATGCTTTTTGAGGAATTCCCATAATTGTCCTATAACAGATTGAACCTAAAGTTTATCTAGTGCAAATATCTTTCCCCTTTCCTTTCATCATAAAATTTCTCCTTGCCTTTGTTTTCAAACAAACATGTAGGTGTAGTCACCTGGAATGTATTCATGCTGAAATATTCAGAATATTCACCTTGAAAGACTATTAACACATTTAATTGAAGACCCTAGTTTGCTGCCATAGCCAAAACAATTTTAAATGTCTTTTTTAGGAATTACGTTCAGGATCTGAATCAAAATTTTAGGGAATGCCAGCAATGTCAACAAATATGTTCTCTGAAGATTGGATTTGATTTTGGAAAATATCCAAAAGTTGTTCAGAGTCAAATCTAGTAAATTAAGTAAGCAACCACTTACAAACTGGGATTATTTTTGTTGTTAAAAAAAAAAACAAATGTGTACACAAAATAATCAGATCTGAAACGGGTCTAACAATTTGTTGTACCAGTGATGGCATTGTTCAAATAAACATATGTCTTCCCAAGGTGACTGCTTTGGAGGTCCCCACACTTGGTCACATGTGTTAGCTAAACTCATCAGTCTCATAGCCACATTCAGTTGCAATTTCTCTGAATAAACCAGATGTTTTCTTTTCACCTTTCCCCTTCCATTCTGTCACAAATTTCTTACTCTGAAACAGGCTCAGTGTTCAATTGCTTCAAAGCCATTTTTGTAGTACTTTCACTTTACTATAGTTGATTTTTTAAAAAAAGTACAAGTAGCAAGGTAAAATTGTGTCACGGATGAGATAGAAAGATTTTGAATCAAACAGAATTTCATTTGAGCTCCAACCTTACCACTTACTAGCTGTGTGATTTGAGTGATTATTTATTCATTTAAGCCTATTTTTTTAATCTGTAAAATGGAGATAAAAATAGTACCTATCTTAGAGAGTGGTGAATATTAAATAGGATAATAAATGTGGGCTTTGTGTGTAATGCTTGGCAGATAGTAAGTGATCAACAAGGATAATTTAGGATAATACTATGTTAGACAAATACTGAAGTCTTTGAAATATTTAAAATGTAAAGAATATTAGGCCATTTATAGCAGTTGCTACCGAGAACTGAAACTCCAAAACTCAAATTTTTGATAGTTTTGAAGGCATTCTGAGAATGTACATTTTACAAAGTTCACTTATCTTTGGTCTCTCTTTCTGCTCCTCCAACCTATAACTACATCTATAGGAGAGGAAAAATGGAAAGGACAGAAATGCTAACTAATGGAATAAAGATATTTTCCATGACATTTTGAAAAAAAGATTAAAGAAATGAACAATATATTTATTATGAATTAATTATGATTTAATCATGGATAATTAACATGAACTAATCTGGATATTTATATATTATTTTGTTTGATGCAGTAGAAAGAAATATGGTCCTAAACAAACCAGTCCTGGGTCCAGTGTATCCAATCTAGATAAATCTCAATCTACCTAAGTGTCATTTTTCCTCCATATAATGTAGCTAATGCCTGTCTTCCCAGGGAACTGTTCTCAAAAAATAGGTAAGAACCTGGTAATTACTTCTTTCTTCCTTGTTAATGAAGAATAGAAAACTGGATGCATTTTCTAAAGCATGAGGAAGTCACTACTAAGGCGGTTTATAAAAGATCTCCAGGAGTATTTCATTACTCAGAGAACTCAGATGAAAGTAGAAGGTAGATGACTGTTGATTTAGATCGTGTGTGTTTATGACATATCAAGCAGAACTGACTGAACGAAAATCGGTGTTTTGGTACAAGTTACTTAACTCCTCTCAGCCTGCTCCTTCACCTATTAAATGAGGAAGTGTAATATGAATGTGCTTTTCAGTTAATTATTTGCTTCTAGTTAATTTTAACAAAATATAAAATACTATTTTCTCATTTGACTCAACAAGACCTTCCCCTCACTGACCTAATTGTATTTGGCACAGAGGAGGATAGTATGAAGAAGGCGTAGAGAGAGACGTAAGGGGAGATGAGATAAAATCTTTCAATAGTTTTTGATTGACTAGAGTTTTTTACGTATTTAGTGTACAATCTCAAAAAGGAAATTATATTTTTCAGAAAAAAGGGAAAATCAAAGTCCTCTGAAAAGTACTTAGATTTTAAAAATTTCCTATTTTACTAGAAGAGAAATATCATGAATAATATGTTATTGCTATGCAGGAAGCAGTTTATTTAGAAATAAAGTTACATATATGTTAAATTTAAATGTTTTTGATATAGAGAAGACGCCACTGCAGACCAATGGTTCTCAAAGTCTGAGCTACAGACAGCATCATCATCCCCTGGGAAATTGTTAGAAGTCAAATTATTGGGCCTCATCCCAGATTAATTGAATCAGAAACTCAGGTGAACCTAGTAAACTATGTTTTAACAAGCCTTCTAGTAGATTCTGATACATGCTAAAAATTTGAGAACCACAGCTGTAGACTTGAGCAAAGGAATATGTCCCTTGTAATGCGCGTGTGTAGTTCCTCCCGTCGAGAGAAGGAGTCTCTGTCCACACCCTCGGAATCTGGGTTGGTTTTGTGAAGTGCTTTGACCAGCAGAATGTAGCAGTAGTGACAGTGTACCAATTCTCTACCTTGGCCTCAAGAGTCCTTGCACTTTTCCTTTCTCTTGTTTTATATGGTACCGCCATATAAACAGTCCCAGAGGAGCCTATTAAAAGATGACAGCACACATGGAGGAGAGTCCAGGTGTCCCAGCTGAGGCCATTCAGACCAGCGTAGGAGTCAACTCCTAGACATGTGAGAGAGCTCAGCCAAAATCAGGAGAGCTGCCTACAACACCCACAGCTGATGCACGAGTAAGGCCAGCCAAGAGTAGAAAAACTACCCAGCTGACCCATATACCTACGAGCAATAATAAATGCTTACTGTTTTAAGCCACTGAGTTTTGGGTGGTTTGTAACGCAGCAGTGTGGGAATTGATACACCCTACCCAATGTGTAGAACATGCACTATTCTACTCCCTACTTAAAGAACCTTTACAATGATGACACTTTAATGAGGTTAAGACATCATGATATCTGTGAGGTGATAACATTTGCTTAATAAAGATCATTTTAAAGATTGCCAAGCAATTTATATACACCATTGCTAATTCTTACAACAACCCAGAAAATGTGGATATAATTATCAATTCCACTTTACAGATGAAGAAATTGAGAGTAATATAGGTTGAATAATTCACTCAATGTCACACACTAGGTGGTGGAGTTGACATTGGAACCCATGTCCTTTCAGTGCCGAAGACTTTATCTTTCCTTTCTGCCATACTGTGGGAACTGGAAGGACTATACATACTTTCCAGCCCAAAACTCTTATTTTTGAGGTAAAGAAACCAAAGAAGTGCAATAACTTGGCTAAAGTGATTCACAATATAAAGTTTTCAATCTCTATAATTCCAAATACTCACCTCTGATTGCAAAAATGGAGACCCTGAGCAACAAGCCCAGAGTCGTTTTGACCTGGGTAGAGGAATTTTCACTTTTAAATAAGCATAACAGGTGATTCTGCTGCAAGTGGGCCATGAATTATCTGAGAAAGGCTGAGTCAAGTGAGTCCTGGGGCCAGGACTCAGATCCTGGTCTTCTGATTCTCAGCGAGGTCAGCTTGAAGCTACAGCAGTGATTGTCAGCAGAATAGGCAGAAGGAGTCCGTCTGGTGCGGCAGTCTTGGCAGGAGGTGGTCTGTCACAGAGTCACCCTAAGGGGCTTGTTCAGACCACCAATTCAAGGACTGAAACGTCCTCTCCCTACTCTCCCTGCATGGGAACCCTTGCTATAGTAAACTCTTGGTGGTGGTGGGTTTATTTATCTTCTAGAGTCCGCAGGTGTATAGGGGTTAACAACAACAACAGAAGTTGAGAGGTATTACTGCATCGCGTTATGCTGCCTCAATTATTTAACTGGTTAAATTTACTCTCACATGGTGAAATCTAATGAATAAAGGCTCCAGTGAGAATGGGATTTTGAACACAGTGGGTATATAACAACGACCTTGGGTCCTACTCATAGAGCTTAATACCATTCCCTGATGGGGGCTTGTAACTCCGAGCCTAAGTTTAGACAACACCTGTGTCAGGGAGAAAGCAGTATATGGATCTTTATGTTTGAAGTTTTTAGCTTAGCATTGATTTGGTTCAAAGGTTTTTCTACTTGGACCATAATTTTCTAGGAAGAAATCTGGTTTGTTCTTCCATTGCTTTGCTAAAGGGTATTGTTAGATCCTTATACAATTAACTGACCTACATGCCCATGCTCAGATCTTATTCACCGCCTGTCCTCGTGCTTGAGACCTGCCTTTCAACTTCCGTGATATTAAACAACCATCTACCTGCCTGAGTATCTGCTCATGGTTTGCTACAGGATTGACTTGCCAACTGTGCTTATGTCCTGTCCACTTCACGCCTTTATTCCCCTCACACCCTCCGCAAGAAGATAAAAGATGGAAACCCTTCCTTGGAAGGCCTATCTTTTGGATAATGAACATCTTGCCTTGTTTCTATGTTCAGACACCCAGTCTTTTTTCTGCGCTTCAGGCTCTCTCATTGCAGCTGTCTCACCGTCACCCAGGTCTTAGAAATGAACGGCAGCAAGAGGAAGTGGAACATGGGTTACTTGTCTAGTCCTAGAAAGGCAGTGTGGTACAGGTATCCAGAGGACAGTGTCTTTTTGATTTTCTAAATTCTGTGGTCTCTATGAGGCAAAGTTACCCAAAAGGAGCAGTAAGATGCTGACAGGGAGCAAGTTGTCCAAGACAGCTACTTTATGTTTGCCTAAGGCCAGCCCTGTAGCCATGGACGTCCAGAAGCGTGGTCTAGAGAGGAAAGTTGTGCCATGTTTTCACCTTTTATTTACTGTATTAGTTGTCTGTTGCTGCTGTAACCAATTACTGCAAACTTAGTGGCTTAAAGCAACACAACAGAACAATACGAAACCTCCCAGGTCACAAGTATGAATTGTGTCTTACTGGGCTAAAATCAAGGTGTTGGGAGGGCTGTGTTCCTTCTGGAGGCTCTAGGAAAGAATCTGTTTCCTTGTGTTTTGCAGCTTCGAGGGGCTGCCTACATTCCTCAGCTAGTGGCCCCTTTCCATCTTCAAAGCCGTGATGGTGGGTGGGGTCTTTCTCATGTTGTATCATTCTGACACTGACTCACCTGTCTGCCTCTGCCACTTATAAGGACTTGATTTACATTGGGCTCACCTAGATAATCCGAGATGATCTCCCCATATCAAGGTCAGCTGATTAGTACCATTAATTACATCTGCAACCTTGATTGCCCTTGGCCGTATTTTTACAAATCTTGGGGATTAGGACATGGACAGCTCAGGAGTTGGGGGGGTGGGGCACTACTCTGCCTACTACATCTGTGTAGAGAAGAAAGAAATTTCTTATGGTAAACAAGTATGTGTAATGTCATCTATTCTCTAGGATTCACAAAGACAAAATACAAATAAAAATGTGCCAAGCCTTTTTTTTTTTTTTGAGGAAGATTAGCGCTGAGCTAACTGCTGCCAATCCTCTTTTCACTGAGGAAGACTGGCCCTGAGCTAACATCCATGCCCATCTTCCTCTACTGTATATGTGGGACGCCTACCACAGCGTGGCTTGCCAAGTGGTGCCATGTCCGCAGCCGGGATCCCGAACTACCGAACCCCACGCCACTGAAGCGGAATGTGCGCACTTAACCGCTGCGCCACCCCGCCAGCCCTCACCCAAACCTTTTGACTTTAGGGAATCCATGTAAAGTACTGAAAATTCTAATAAGGTTGTGAAGAAAATTGTTATGCAGTTGACTGTATGAATGTAACTTTTTAAAAGCATATGTGGTTCTGGAGTTCATGTTCTGTAAGAATTGTTTTGAACCTGAAACGTTACACCTCTGTACATGAGGAAAGCATTTGTAAAAACCAGCCCCTCCCAAAGAAATGGGGATCTAACTGAAATGGCTACAGGTAGAAGCAGAGGAAACAGAACAAAAGATGGTTTTGTAAAAGTAGAAGGAATTTTTTGCATTCGTATTATGATGTAATAATTTCTGTCTCAAACTCTCATCATTTCCTCTGGCTCCAATCCTGGATCCCATCTATGCTGTTGATTTTGCAGCCAAGTCAGTAATTTAAGTGCTAAGACTTATTCTGCATGCTAAATTCTGTTTACAGAATCAAAGGATTTTCGAAAGGGAGTGCTTATCTGGAATTTGGAGATGAGATCTATCCAAGTGCAGAGAAAATCTTGTCTGAGAAATAATTAAATTACAACACTTTTTTATTGAGCTTGACATCCGTTTGTTAAACAAATTAAATGTCTCCTTGTTTTTATCTTTGTTCATTTTTAAAAGAAAAATTACTTTATTGATTTTGTAAGTATAACAGTTGCTCATTATAATGAGTTTAAGTCATGCAGAAAAATAAAAAGAGGTTTTTTATTTACTTATTTTTATTTTTTTGAGAAAGATTAGCCCTGAGTTAACATCTGCTGCCAATCCTCCTCTTTTTGCTGAGGAAGACTGGCCCTGAGCTAACATCCACGCCCATCTTCCTCTACTTTATATGTGGGACGCCTGCCACAGCATGGCTTGACAAACGGTGTGTAGGTCTGCACCTGGGATCCAGACTGGTGAACCCTGGGCCGCCGAAGCAGAATGTGCAAACTTAACTGCTGTTTCACCAGGCTGGCCCCAAAAAGAGGTTTTATAAAAAAGTCACCCTAAATCACTTTTTACCGTTATTGACATATAATACATGCTATTTTTATAAATAAGTAATGAATTAGAAAGGAGCCAAATGAAGCTGAAATGAATTGGAAGGGATTGCTAAACTTTTAATAAATGTAGTGTTCAGTACAGGATATATTATGTCTTAAGAGATCCTTCTAAAGTTAAGAAGAAATTGTTAAAAACGTTAAAATGTTGACATCATATCTTTACAACCTACACATTTCAATTGCAGATGGCGTCGATTGTTTGCCTGCTCCGAGAGAGGAAGACATGAGCCTCTCCTTTGTTACCTCTCTTGCCTCTGGATCTTGTTGTTTATATTATTATTTATATATTGCCAAGGATAATACATTTACTTTCTGTTCTTCAATTATTTAGATATATTTTAAATTGATTCAGTGTTCACCCAAGATCTTTTATCCTTCTCCTCTTTTTACTTTCATTTCTTGAGTACCTGGATTTCATTATCAAGTTGTGTATTTAGCTGTTGTTTGGTTTTCGTTTGGTTTTTGTTTTTGTGAAGAAGGGTGCATGAGTGTTGTATTCTTCAGAACTCTTTCAGGTATTATTGTTAGATTACATTTCTTTCCTTCAAAATTTCTTAAATATTTCCTAATGTCGTCTCTTACTGCAGGTTACTGTGGAATAATATGAGACCAGCATGGATGTTTCCCTTTAAAGGGCATTTGCTTTGCTTTTTTGCTTGCCTAAAGAATTCTTTATCCTTGAGTATCGGTAATTTCACTAAGGATTTATCTCAGCGAATAGTGTTCCCAATCAAATCACCTTGGAATATATGTTACTTTTAGATCTGCAGGTTAAATTTTGCTTCATTTCAGAGAAAGTTTCTTCTTCATTAAAAAAAATTATGTCTTTGGCTACATCGCTGTGTTCCTCTTGGTTTCCCACCTAGGAGACACTGACTGCCCTGGTGCACAGAATTTGTCAGTCCTCCGCTTCTTTGAGCTTCTTTCTGATTGCTTAATTTCTTCTTTTTTCATCTGTGTCGACTGTGATTATCTTAGCTCCTTCCTCTCTTTCATGCTTTTGAAATTTAATATTAGTTCTTTAATGATATTGTTTCAATCTTCTATTTCCTTAGGTTTGCAATCCCTCTTCCTCGTTCTG